GGATTTGAACCGTGCACCTCTGGGATTGTAGTGCAGCTTCTTGCCACTAGGCCACCAGAGCTCCCTATAACTTAACACACTCTTATATTGCTTATACACAGCCCATTACCAGTGATGATGCCTCTCACAGGGCTATTTTCGGATTGTCTGTGTAACTCCTTAGTATCTTAAACAAGAGTTTCAAAAGACATCCCATTGGTTACCAATAAGAAAAAAAAAGGACATCTAAATACCAAAATACTTGAAATACACATTATAGTTTGCGATTTTGGAAGAACACTAAAGAAGGTGGTGCCAAATTAGTTCAGGAAGAAAACCAGAAATGAGGCAAAAAGGAACAAGGTCTTGAGAGAGCCAGGGAGTACGGCCTCTCAGCAGAAATATACCAGAGGGTCCAGAAAGGGAATTTGAGGGAAATGTACTTTAAGAACTTACATTTCAATAGTACTGATATTTAGCTGCTCAAGTAAGGGTGAATGTTTTAAAAGTAATGCAAACTTTTTAAGTGTAATGTGAGAATTCAACATTCATTAACTTACTGCCTTCCAACACACAGTAACAGTGCTGTGGGTGTTCTGAGGCTGTCAGGTGCACTAGCAAAGGATGTCCATCATTCTTTGATTAAACAACTGATGAATGTGTATGACCACACAAGAGCCTGCCCTGGACCTCAGCCTATAAACTATTCCTGCAGAACTTCCATCCCAAAGACTAGAAGGAACAAACAAATATTATGCACATGAAACACCCACTAGGCTAGGTATGTGTAGAAGGTGAGGGCAAAGAACCAGAATACCTGTTCATTCCTTCCCCACGTGTAAGGTGGTGGAAACAAAATGCATAAAACACTTATTGGAGTAAAAGAAATAATACAACAAGGTTGTACAAAGATACAACCAAATAGACAACAAGGTTTGAAAAGCACAGATAATATCTTGTGGGACCATCTGCAGATTCTGATCAAGAGATTCTGCCATTAAACAGAGAACCAAGGGCCCGGTATGAAAGAACAGCTTGTGGGTCCAGGTCTATGGGCACATATGGAAAGTGACCCATGGCATTCGTGTTATGAAAAAGTGTGTGGTTAGGGACAGGGCCACTTATCTGGGGAGGAAGCAATTAGGGGGGCTCCTAGATTACTCCAAGAGTCTCCTCTTTTACCCTTTCTCCTCAGAAAACTGCAGCGCTACAGAACACAATGGGTCCCCAGAGTTTCTATGCAGTATCAACAATTTAAGATTGAAAGATCGATCGTTCGTGTAAGACTCACCATTTCTTTATTCCAGTTTCTGCACGGCTAAGGGAATGTCTTCACTAATCTCAAGATATAAGTTCAGGAAGAGTGTTCTGTCTGGGAGAAGGATGCGGGTATTCTGCACGCAGATGGATAATAAGAGTGGTGAAGGAACTCTTAAAAAAAGGAAATATTCTCTCATAAAATATGACAACTAGCATTCAGACAGGGAAACTTAATTCAAATCAGACTAAAGAAACCCTGTCATTTATTTCAGGAAGGCATGAACTTTTGAAACTCCCTGGTCCTCGCCTCCTTCCTAGGACCCGCGCCGTGACCCTCCCAAGGTGGCACGGGGTGTGAAGCCCTGAGCACACCGTCCAGCTCTCCGGCCCTCGCACTGACCACCACCCTGGTCCTCCGCGCACACTCACCCCCGACCCC